TGTCCAGCCCCACTGAGACAAAAAGATCCCAGAGACACAGGAAGGCAGACAGACAGAGAGTCTGCCTGCCTGCTGGGCAACATTCTCCACTCCCACAGCGCTTTCTTCTAATTAAACTTTTATAGCCCTCCAGATCCCATTTCAAGGGAAATATCAAGTGCCTGGAGCAAGGCGGGCTGTAAATGCAGCGACGCGTCGCTAACGCGGGCCAGCGCAGCACCCGGTGCCTGCAGACCGGCCGGGCACAAGCCCAGAGGTGGATGTTCCTGCTCCCAGGGGTGCCCGGGCAGACGGGGGGGGGCAGCGCTCCCCAGCCTGGGGCTCTGTCCTTGTCCCCCCATCCCGAGTCTGTCCCAGAGCCCAGCAGCACCTTGCACTCCCCGTTGACGCAGATGTCGTTGGAGTCCTGCCGGCACGGCGTCCCATCCACCACGGCTGCGGCTCGTTCTGTGTAGAAGTTGAAACCCTCAGCCAGGCAGTTGAGGGAACAGGCTTTCACACCCCCTGGGAAAGAAGCAGAGGTTCAAATGATGCCGCCCAGGAGAGAGAGGGAAGGTGTGGGTGATGGCTGCCTTACCTTCCCTTACCTCCACCCTGTGCCCGGCCCTCCAGGTGCCCAGGAGGACATCCCTGCTGAGTGGAGGGACCCACAGAGGGACCCAGGCACCCTCCTCATTGATCAGCACCGAGTTAAGACCCTTGAACCAGACACTGACGCATTGTCCCTTCTGCACAGCCTGGGGAACACAGGCTCTACGTTATGGGGAAGGGAACAAACTGACTTGTTCTTATCTGGTGTTGGTCACTCCTGGGTCTCCTGGCGTGTTACAAGGCCTGTTGACAGCCTTACGCCCATTTCACAGGGAAACTGAGGCAGCAGTTAATAAGTGACTTGCCCGAGACTTTTCAGCTACTAGAACAGAGCAACAAGTGTTTTCAGCTCCTAGGCCAGAACAAGCATTTCTTTCTGTTCAAGGCCTTCAGAGCAAAGGTGATGACAGCAGTGTGACGATGAAGGGGAAGGATGCTCGAGTTATACCTAAAATAGATGACAGTCCTTGCCAAAGCACTCCCTAAGGAACAGAGGCTGGATATCTGGATATGGGCACCTCGTGCCAGGACATGGGACTGGTTATGGAAGGAGACATCTGAGCAGTTTCTTGCCTCCTGTCCTGGATTTCATCAAATACTGGTGCAGATCGTGGCATCTACTGCTTTTACTGAGCATCCCGAGGAGACCCAAGAGGCTGCATCACCAGGCAGAGAGGCTGAGCCGTGGCAGTTTGCTCCCGCGGGCACCGGCAACAGTCGTGAGCCATGTGCCAGAGCTGGGAAGCACCGAGCTCGGGAGCAACCAAAATCTGCAAAACTTGCAACTCGAGACAGCAGATCAAATGGGCCGATGGAGGGGAGGGGTGGCCCAGCTGCACCTGGGAAGTGGCTGGGGGGGAAGAAGGAGCAAAGCTGCGAGGGGAACGGGAGGAGACACCAGAGGGGAATTCAGCAGCTTGGAGGCACGCCACCACGCAGGATGCCTGGGCAAGCCCCTAGAGAAGGGGCTCGACCAACCCTTCTTCTGGAGAGCCGACCCCCCACCGCAGCACCCCGGGCTCTCCTCAGCCTGGTGAGGGAGCTCCAGGGCCACCAAGCGGGACAGCACAGGCATGGCCCCAAAAACTCACAGCTGTGAAACAACAGCATGCCTGGACCCCTGGTCTATCCAGCCAGACCTTGGGTGCAACACATCACCAGCAAGGTAGGAAAACATGAGTCACGAGTGACCTACTCTGGCTGGGGGACCTCATGGCTTGGAGAGGCTGTGCCACCGAGCGC